AAGGACAGGAAGGCCTGGCGCAATATGGTTCGTGGGGTCACAAAGAGTCGGACACGACTTAACGACTAAACAACAACAACAAAATCACGGTGTCCTATCTTATCAAACCACAAACAATTTCATCTGTCTTCAAGAGCTTCTCTGCACTCTCTCCTGGGTCCCTAAATGCATGTGGAAAAAACCATGGGTTTAAAAATTACTGAACGTTAGAAGTAAGGGTGAAGTTCTTAGATCTGGTAGGAGGGTGGACCATCAGAGAGAAACTTCTGCAGAGAATGCTTGCCTTTAAGTCCCTTTTCATCCCACCTCACAATTACATTAAATTTGGTTGTGTTTACAGGCATAGAAGCAGGAATTGCCTCCTACTCCAGTGCTAGTCCTAAATAAATTTCTCTCATCTGTTTTCTGAAATAGTGGCTAGTCACTGCTATCCAGAAAAAGGAAGCAGGACACTGAACTAGGAGAGTTACTGTAGCAGGACTGAACTTGCAAAATTTGGGAAAGTCCAAACGTTGGCATACAACTGCATTCCAGTTTGGTTTGGTTCATGAAGGGAGATTTGATGAAGTTGGTACTAACATATAAACCAAACATCTTTGCTGTCCTTTCTTCATTGTCACAGGTTACAAATTACTTGGGTATTGAGTGGATGAGGAGACATCTTGCTCCGGAGTATAGAGTCCATACTATTTCTTTCAAAGACCCCAACCCTATGCACATCGATGCTACTTTTAATATCATTGGTCCTGGCATCGTGCTTTCTAACCCAGATCGCCCATGCAATGAGGTAAGGCAGCTTCACAGAGGAATGGGGAACTATGCACCAGTATTCAAATGTTCCCCTCAAAAGCCAAAAAAGCTCCTGATATTCAGCAGTTCTTCTGCAATATGGTGCTTTCAAGATGTGATGAACTTTACTACCTGAATCCCATAAATATGGGGATTGGCTGGGTGCTCAGTTGTTTTTGGGGGGAAAAAATAGGAGGAGGAAGTGTAGTGTGGAACGTCTTGGGCCTGAAGGAAAGAGGGGATAAAAATCAAATAAAAGCACTTCTGGAAAACAGCTGGGCCAAAAATCACCTTCCTAGAGATGCCAGCTCTCTCTATGTAGGGAATTTGGGTGTGGGAGTGTGTTCCAACATGTTTGATGAGCTAAGAAATATAGAAGGACTATCCCAGATGGTGCTGTTTCAAGTTTGAGGAATAAGTTGGTGCACATTGTTTCCTGCGCTGGACATCCTGGGCTGTGTTCCAACAGCACACCAAATGATAGGAATATGGTTTAAACAGAGTGGCTAAGCCAATTTTTAAAAAAATCTTTCTGGCATGATGGGTGAAATTATCCTATTGCATGAAGTCATAATGTGGTAGTGGTGGGGTTTTGCCATAGTAGGGCTTGCTAGCCATGATTTATGGCTTAGCATGTTGTGCAAATCCAACCTTTTCCCCCAGCCTTCTTATCTCTACTTAATGCAACTAAAGGGCTGACTGTAACTGACTTCTTGAACAATTTCCCACTCTTGCTGCAGCTTAAAAGAAAGGGCCAGCAGATGTAGATGAAAGCTAAACACGGCAATTCCGCTTGGAATGTGAATGAAAAAGAAATGTAAGAACATTTAAAAGTACACAAGCGCACACCAAATCAGACTGCGCTGCAAAGAAGAACTTAGAGCCAAATGAGATGCAAAGGTGAAATTAGTACTGGAAGAAAATCTTCTTCCATTTTGATCCCATTCTTGGTTGCTGGGCAGATTAAACAGATGATACATCCATCATTTTTATATAATGACAGAGAAAGTAACAAACGTAATGGATGTGCACAGCTGGAGAACACACAGAAAGCAATAAGATTTCCAAGGTGAAACTCTCTCTTTTTCTTCCTGACTCTCTTAGATTGATCTCTTCAAGAAGGCAGGCTGGACAATCATTCACCCACCACTTCCTCTCATCCCTGACAGTAGGTTTGGCTTTGTTTCCATATGGAAGGCATGACTTGGGGAGCAAATGTCCTATTGTGGTGGTTGCATAGTGGGGCATCCATGACTGCTAATGTTTTTATCTCTAGACCATCCATTGTGGATGTCCTCTAAATGGCTTTCCATGAATGTCCTGATGCTGGATGAGAAACGTGTCATGGTAGATGCCAATGAAACCCCGATCCAGCAGCTCTTTGAACGCCTAGGTAAGACCAATTTATGTACAGGGGCCAAAATTTCATAGAGCAGTTATTATCAGAGCTTGTGTATAACCTATAGAACACACATTCTCCTAAAGATAATCTAATCCAGGTTTCTCCAACTAAGTGTCCTCCAGAAGTGTGAATCTCCCCTAGATCCAGAGAGCAGACTGGAATTATGGGACTTGGAAGTTCAACATCTTTGAAGGCCACCAAGTCAGGAAAACCTGCTCTAGGCACAAGATGTTGAGCTTCTGGGCCTGATCGGGCCATTAGTGGTCTTGAGAGATGCCTGGCCTCCTAACCTTGAAGATCTCTGCCTCCATCCTGAACTGTCTTCAAGGTCAAAAAAGGCCATTATCATTCATGTTTTAGAGATATGTGAGACCTCCCCAAAGGAGATGCCATTTCCTCTTTCTTTCTGTTTAGCCCTGCAAGAAAGAAGGTAATGATTCCTCCCTGGTTGGACAGACATTTGAGCCATAGTATTTGAAACCTTCAAAGAGCCTTCCAACTAAGGCTTAGATGCACCATCATCTATAGAAAGCCTATTGCTTTGGCACCTATGTGTGATTCCTCAATAATTCCATATGGGAGAAAAAGCCTTCAAGAGATCTTTTCTCCCCTTTTGCCTGCAGGCATTTCAACAATCAAAGTGAATATCCGCCACGCCAATTCCTTGGGAGGAGGCTTCCACTGCTGGACCTGTGACATACGTCGTCGTGGCACCTTGAAGTCTTATTTGGATTAGTAGGAGGCCTGTCTGAAGCACAGGCCACCATTCAATGTGAATGCATGAGACATAAGATGAAGAGGTTAGTTTCCTCTGGCTCCTTTAAAAAACAAAACAATGTAGATGCATGAGTTGCTGTGCTTTGAACCAGGCCCTTCCTCCCCACTTGCGCCCCCCATCCCTATGGCCTGCAGGAGATAGTGAACCCTAAGGGTCTATCCACACATTATGAACAGCAAACTAGGGCTAGATGGTGCTCCTTGACAAATGGTGCTCCTTGACAAATGGTCTGCATTTGAGAAATTGCTTCCATTGTTTTGCCAGATATTCTTTGATATACACATCCAAGTGGATACTGTGAATATTTATACAGAAGCAAGCTTCATGTGTTTGAGTTAGTTTATTAGAAAGTGATAGGGCCGCAGCCTTATTCACAAAATTAACGTGTCTTTAAATTGTCTTGTTACATGCCCACACAGAAGCATGCTGTCAGTGAAGATGGGAGGGAGGGCCCTTTCCTGTCACACCCACGTTGAATAGCCTTGTTCCATCTAGGCTTTAGTCATCTAGGCCCGTGACACCTCAGGCAAGAAGAAGCACGGGACTTTAGGGCCCTTAAGAGCTGTTATGGGACTCAGTATGCCCCACAGGCTCAACATTTCAGGACCAAGGAGAGCAACTCTGTATACAAGTTACCCCAGGAATGAACAAGGTACAGAGATAGCCATAAGACAGGTTTGTTTAATCATGTTTGAATAAGCTACAGTTGGCTGGACTCATGCCATTTTAAGTCATAAATCATAGTTTACAAACTTCAGTGACTGGATTTTAACAATATACTAAGTCATACATTAAACCATATTATTGCTTAGGGCTACTGGAGAGTCTTTCCAGTAACTCCATTCCATCAGGTTCTGTGTTAGTTACCTTAAAGAACCAGCCCTCTTTGCTATCTCTTGCTCCTTTGGGCAATTAGTGAAAATGTTCCTCAAGGTCTTTTGGGCCATTGGACAAATCCAAAGTCCATCCTTCTCCCCAGAGTTGAAAGACAACTGCATTTCCCTGGGATAAGCTGTCAGATAGTGGGTGGAGATGCTAAGGAATTGATTCGACCTTCTTTTTCTCCTGAGCTACAGCCATTTGTTTCAGAGAGTTCTTGAACCTTGCCTCAGGTAGTAGCAATTGGTACTGCCTTACCTGGTTCCCAGTGAAGATGAGTGGAGTCTATAGATGGTGTGTAGTTTGACATCGCACAATTTGTCATCTATCTTAAACCAGGACAGGGAAGTCACTGGTAGGCAGTGCATCATGTTTTCTCTGCAGGATCCTCCATCAGTGAGTACCACTGTGCCTATATTAGTAGTTCAGGCACTGAGAATGGACTTCTGGTCAAGTCCAAACTATAGCAATTGCATTTAGGTCCCACAGAAAGCAAAAGGAACAGGTTAGTATAAATATAAATCCCATTGAAAGCAATATAAAGGTCTTGCAGTCTTTGAATATGTTAGGTGCTTCCTGAAATAACATGTGTGAATTGGCCCTTAGCCCACATAGACGAGTTCTGTTTTCTCATCAGTGAAACGGGCCTTCCAGCTGGCTTTTTGAACAACATCTGGACACTGTCCCTGTTTTTTATCTGCACTCCAAGAATGTACAAAGGTTCATGACAAATACCAGATCCGTGGCTGACATTACATATCTACCTCTGCTTGAAAGTATTTCAGAAAGGCAGCTAGAAAGATTAGACCTAAGATGAATGTGAGTCTTTCCGTTCCAGTTTGATAGCATTTATGGTTAGGTCTGAATACCACACAATGTGAAATTTAAGGCAAGACTTCAAAATACCAGATATGGGCCCAGGTTTTTACTAATTTTATATTTTAAACTGTTTAGGTTAGCCTAATTTTTTTTTTACAAAATCATCAGTGAAACCTTATGCAGGTGCACCTTAAACTACACCAGGCTTGGGAACTGGTGACCTTTGTAAACATTGTCAGACCCATTGACTATATTAGACTACAATCCCCATTGCTCCTAGCCAACAGGATGGTTGGGGAACATCACGTATTGGCTTGCTGACAGTAAAGTAAAAATTGTTCATGTTCTGGATGTCAGGTGCATTGGCCTTTTTTTTTTCTTGTCCCAAGAATGGGTGGCTATTAGGTGGAGCAAGAGAGAGATCTGCATTGTTGGGACAAGGAAAATACTGTATGATGTCTGAGTTTGTTCCCCAACTTAAGTAATCCGTCACGTCTAGATGCTTCAGAAGAATTAGATCCACTGGTATACATTAGGTCTCTAAATGCCTCCTTTTAGTTTCCTTCCTCCCAAAACCTGGATTAGATACCTCTAGTCTGAAAAAACTTTCTTCAGTGTACTTTGAATATTTGAATATTTTGTATACTTCTTGTTTTGCCTTGCTTTGCTTCAGTCTTTCATTGATGACTGCCAACCCAATGCAGGTTGTTTGGTGGAATTTGTTTACATTAATCAAATATACTTAATAATCCTTAGCAGAAATGCACATGATTCATCTAATACTACCCAAAAGGGTTTCCTCTATGTATTTATGCTAATAAAACACATTTGCATTTGTGCAGTTTTGGTATTGCTTCTTTTGCATGCTACCAGGTTGTAGAATGGGCAGATTTATTTCTGCTTCCTGGGCAAAATATTTTGACGGTGTCTTACTGGAACTCAGTGGCTGAGCACCTGCTTTGCCCTGTCTTTGCATGCTGTGGATCTCAAATTCAACATCTGGTGTCAGAGTAAAGCTGGAAAAGACCTTTACAGGTAGTCCTTGTTTAACGACCACAATTGGGACCTGCAACTCTGTCGCTAAGTGTGAAATCACGTGATCGCAACTGGGCTTTCTGGCTCGAAAGTGACAAATCAGTTTCACACCTTCACTGCGATGCTGGGATAATTAGCAAGAAGGGAATTAATGTTTGTATTTACTTTCATTGGAGAGGAAGGGATTATAAGAGAGTAACAGGCACACAGTGGGAAACACGTATCGAAAGTAATGCGCTGGCGCTGGCGGTCCTGAGCATGCTATGCAAACAGCCCTGTGTATTCCCCATTGTGTGCCTGCTTACTCTCTTGCAATCCCTTCCTCTCCAATCTCTCCACTTGGCGGTGGAGGAGGGAAAAAAGCTATTTCTGTAGGCAATCTCTCCTGACCCATTCCCCCCTCCCCCCCACCTGTGGCCTGCCATTGTGTAAATCTGTCTCTATCATGCATTACTTAACGTAAGGACTTTTTAAAAATCCTTGAGAAGAATCCTTCTGGAAATGTGACTGTTCTCTCCCTACTTTGTTTTAAAAACCTTTTTCTAGGTTTGGGGTGGAATCGCTTGGAGGTAAAAGCATGGATTCCCCCTGGAGATGCCATTGCTAGTGGGTGTTTGCCTTTTTTTTTTTTTTAAGGTTTTGATTTCTTTTGCAGAGTTGCACACTGGGGAAAAGAAATGGAGGTGGAAGTTGCACTAGAGGGCAGTGTGGTAGCATCAAACGTTAGAGAAACGGCCAGTCATCTCTGTTGTTCAAACTGCCTTTTGATTTACTTCATGTTTTTCCCAAAGCAAACCTCCTCTAGTCATGTTACAAATGAGAAGATGAAGAAGATAAACTACAACAAGGAGTGCAGGAAAAATGTGCCAGTGCAGAACAATTTCTCGTTGTTAACTAATTAGCCACATTTCTGTACTGGCCCACTGTAACAACACTGGGTGATGTCCTGAGAACTCAGCTGAGCAGTCTCAAAATACAAAGAAGAAATGCAACACATCCAAAATAGGAAGATGGCCATCCTGCTCTTTACCCACTAGGCATCACGATCCCCAAAGGCCCATTTAAAAAGGAAGGTTTAGGTCAGGGTTGACGGAGCCCCTTGCTGGAGGGGTTTGGGTCTATGTTTTGGTTTCACACAATTAGATCCCATCTTGTTTTGTTCTGTATTGTGTTTTTATTGCTTATGATATTGTGAGTTGCCCAGAGCTGATTTGGAGCCAAGCAGCACCTACATTGAAGCAATGAATGAATGAATGAATGAATGAATGAATGAATGAATGAATGAGATTTCCAAAAGCCTGAAGGGGT